GCACAGCTGCTTAATTTTTTTTAATTATGCATACAATGTTCTGTTAACATATATACACCAGAAGAGAAACCAGATCTCATTATAGGTGGTTGTGAGCCACCATGTTGCTGGGAATTGAACTCAGAACCTTTGGAAGAGCAGGCAATGCTCTTAACCGCTGAGCCATCTCTCCAGCCCCCGAGCACAGCTGCTTTTGCAAAGAACCCAGGTTCTATTTCCAGCACCCACACGGTGGCTCACAGCTGTCTGACTCCAGCTCTAGGGGATCTGATGCCTTTTTGTCCTTCATGGGCTTATATACAGACAGGCAAAACACCCATACACATTAAATAAAAATGAATCTTTTGTTTTTACTTTATTTTTGTTTTCTGTATGTATGAGTGTTTGTCTGAATGCATGCCTGTGCACCATGTGTGTGCAAGGCCCGGATGCAGCCAGCTTGCATCTCTGACGCAAGTGCTCTACCACTGAGCCAAATTCTCAAGCCCTTGGTTTTTGAGGGTTTTGGGTTTGTTTGTTTGTTTTTTAAGGTTTATTTATTTATTATGTATACAACACTCCTTCCATGTATGCTTGCATGCCAGAAGAGGGCACCAGATCTCATTATAGATGGCTGTGAGCCACCATGTGGTTGCTGGGAATTAAACTCAGGACCTCTGGAAGAGCAGTCAGTGCTCTTAACCTCTGAGCCATCTCTCCAGCCCAGGGTTTTTTGTTTGTTTGTTTGTTTGTTTGTTTTTAAGATTAATTTTAAGCTGGGCATTGGTGGCGCATGCCTTTAATCCTAGCACTCGAGGGGCAGAGGCAGGCAGCCTGGTCTACAAGAGCTAGTTCCAGGACAGTCTCCAAAGCTATAAAGAAACACTGTCTCAAAAAACAAAACAAAACAAAAAAAAGAGTTAATGTTATCATGCATGAACTAAATTTAATATTAAAAAACTCATGAATGTGTGTGCATGCATGCATTTGCCTGTGAGTCTGTACACTTACCTGCAGAAGCCAAATGGGTATTGGATCCCATGGAACTGGGGTTAGAGGCAGTTGTGAACTACCTCACATGGGTACTGGGAACCAATTCAGGTCCTCTGCAAAAACAGCAATCACTCTTAACCACTGAGCATTCTCTCCAGCCCACCCCCTTGGTTTTTTTGAAGTAAGGTCTTACTGTGTGGGACAATAAGATTTCACACTCTTGATACTCTTGGCCTCTGTGGTGCTGAGATTAGAAGCACACCCACAGTCCTTGGTTTCAGTCCCTTCCATTTATGCTAAGTATATAAACAGCTTTAGCATGACTGTGTGTTCTTTGAGGGACCCAGTGGACCCACTTCTTTCTAGTCTTTGACCCTCAGCTAAGATCACCTCAGTGTACTGCTGGTGATGGCATTACTGAATCATCTTTTCTTATAAACCTTCCTGCATTTGACACACTAGAGCTTTGGCTTTTGTCGCAATCTTTCCTGTCCTCTCCCGCTAATTTCCCGTTTTCTAACTACACTTGCCTAACTTCACCCTTCTTCATGGATGGTATTCCAGCTTGTGTCCTTGCTTCCTTCTTAGCCCAGGCCACAGATAGCGTAAACTAAGTATTTGTTGGCATGGCCAGTAGTGAGGAGTGTGTGTAAGGAGAGAGAAAAGGTTAAGCCACCAGAATGTGGTGGGTTACTACTTTAGGGACTTGTAAAAGTGACTGGCCAGCTTTGTTCTAACCTGGGTATGATGGCAAATAGCTGTGCTTATAGCACTAGGGAGCCTGAGAGAGAAGGCTCATGAGTTCAGGGCCAGTTCGTATACACCAAGACCCTGTCTCAGAAAATAAAATCATACTTCATTCTAAGACTCAGTTCTGGAGAGGTGCTGAGCAGGGTAAAGGTAAGGTAGATGTTCTCCCTTGATCAAGGGTGACTTCGTTTGTGTATTTTCATCTGAGTGCTCAGTTGAGGAAAGGGTCTCCACTGATGATAGAAAGGTTGGAGCCTATTGAAATACAAAAGGAAAGTTTGCTTGCTGGCGGACAGTAGAAACAAAAAACATCCCTGCTCGTCTGCTTAGAGAAGTTATACTGAACTTGTATTCTGTGGCAGCAGCCTGAGCCTTGAAGAGCTGGGTGTGCCCTGTCCTTACTTCTGGGCCCCTTGGGTGACAGCCACCGTATGGAAAGGACTGGAGTAAGACTTAGAGTGAGGACCTGAAACCTTCGTTCTTCTGGCTGCAGCGGCTTTTCATTTCGCTCCAAGCCCATGTTGTCTTTTCCAGGTACGGTCGTTGCCCGCTGCCTCATTTTTCCACTGATTGTGAAGGGCCAGCGAGAAGCAGCCAAGATCCACAACCACATGCCAGTGATACAGAAGTTTTCCACCCGAATCAAAGAGGCCAAGTTGGCAGGAGACCAGGCAGAGTGTGAGTCGGCTCCTGGGCAAGTGTGGGAGAGAAGCACATTTGACGAGAGACATTCTGCTGTGGGAGAGGGGCAGGTGCTGCAGTTGGGCGGTTCTGGTAAAGCTAAAGGTTTAGCCTTTCCTTGGAAAGGACATGGGCCCAAGATGAAGTTGTTCACCTTCACTGATGTCACTCTTAACCCAGTGACTCATTTCCCTCCCCTCGCAGTTTACAGGGCCACCATAGAGATGACACGCTATCAGAAAAAGCATGATATTAAACTCTTCAGACCGCTCATCCTGCCTCTCACTCAGGTGAGCTTGTCCATCCTGAACCCAGTAGGCTCTGTCCTGCTTCCCATGTCCCAAGATCCCCAGAAAAGCAGGGGATGGTGATGTGCGTGGCTTTTAGTAATGGGGTTCTGAAAATGTACCCGTTAGATGTGTTGACTGTTTATCCTCTGTAACAGGCCCCCATCTTCATCTCCTTCTTTATTGCCTTGAGAGAGATGGCCAACCTGCCTGTGCCCAGCCTACAGACAGGTGGGCTCTGGTGGTTCCAAGATCTCACGGTATCTGATCCCATCTACGTCTTGCCACTGGTGGTCACTGCCACAATGTGGGGTGTCCTTGAGGTAAGCTGGGGCTAGCCAAGTGTGAGACCTGCCAGTAACAGGGAGAAGGGATAAAGTGCCATGCAGAATGTACCTTCCATTCCCTGGAAGAGTTGACGGGTGAGAGATTGGAATTCACTGTTCTTTTCCTCAACCCGTTTCGGGCAGCTAGGTGCAGAGACGGGCATGCAGAGCTCTGACCTCCAGTTCATGAGGAATATTATCAGAGTGATGCCGCTAGTGGTCTTGCCCGTGACCATCCACTTCCCCTCGGTAGGTAACGGCTTTGTGCTGCTTCCAAGTCCTTCCACCTAGTGCCTCTGAACAAGGTGACTCGACAGAGCTCTGAGCATCTTCTCTTCGCTCACGCAGGCAGTGTTCATGTACTGGCTGTCCTCCAACTTGTTCTCCCTGTGCCAAGTGGCCTGCCTCCGGATTCCAGCTGTGTGCACAGTGCTTAAAATCCCCCAGCGTGTCGTACACGACCCTGACCAATTGCCTCCTCGGGAAGGCTTCTTGAAGAGCTTCAAAACAGGTAAGGGGTAGCGGGCGGGCAGTGTGGTGTGATGAGGAAACCTGTAATCCCAGCAAGGGAGCCGCAGCAGGATTGCACTGCCTAGCCACCCGAGGCTCCATAGTGGGTCAAGACCAGCCTGGGCTATGGAACTTGAGACTTTTCTCAAAAAGGAAGGGGGTGGGCGGTCAGGACCAGGAGAAAGTAGCCTGGAAATGAGAGAACTCTCCTCACACAGGCTGGAAGAACGCTGAACTGGCACATCAGCTCCGAGAGCGTGAACAGCGAATGCAGAAACACCTGGACCTGGCTGCCAGAGGTGAGGAAGCCCTTCAGGCTCGAGTCTCTTCCATTTCTTCTTTCTCTCTATTGACTGAGATTTGTTCTCTCTTCTCCCAGGTCCCTTACGACAGACTTTCACCCACAACCCTCTGCTACAGCGTGATCCGAGTCACCCTCCCAACACCCCCGACAGCAGCAGCAGCAGCAAGCCCAAGTCAAAGCCTTGGAAGGACACTCTCGGCTGATTGCTGTCCTGTGCTCATTCTGACAAGAACCGCATCTTCACGGACTCCTGCACACAGACTTGATGCTGTGTCCTCGCCCCAAACCTGGGAACTCCATGATTTGGAAGTGTCCGTTTTAAAAATTGTTTGTACCACAGACTGAAGAGACTGCCTCCTGTGTATAAAAGAGTACTAGAGAGGAAGCACCTTCTCATCCAGAGTTAGTAAACGTCTGTCTTGTCTGGGCTTCTTGTTTGTTAAATATGGAAGGGGAATGGTGCTGCAGAACCTCACTCGCCCTTGCTCTTGGGAAGGAGCTTTGGGTTTTAACCTGAGCTTCAAAGCTCAGACCTGCCTCCCACGTTGTCCGTCTGCATCTGCGTTTGCACTGTAGAGATGATAGGCAAGACTGTGTGGTGGTCAGTCTCTTGTACTGGGGACTGACCCTACATCTCCAGCCCTGAGCCGTGTTTCCTGACCTACCCCCCAAGATTACCTATACAGTTTCTTTAAGAAGTAGATGTGTTGGGATTCTGAGTGGTGATTTGGAAGAATGAAGGGGGAATGACTCAGCAGGTGAGAGTTCAAATCCCCAGCACCCATGTGAAAAGCTGGGCGTGGCCCTGTTCTTACATCTCTAATCCCAGTTCTGTGGGGTGTGGAGACAGGAGGATTACTTGGGCTAGCTCCAGGTTCAGTGAGAGACCCTGTCTCTGGGGAATAGGGTGGAGAGTGACAGACAGGACACCTAGTGTCTTCCGGCCTCTGCACATGCAGCACACAAGAAAAGGGGAAGTTCTTATGTACTAGCTTTTTACATTTATAACATTGTAGTGCGGCAGTTCACATGTTTTTATAAAAATTGGCTTTATAACCTTTGGGCGGCTGGCTCCTGAGGGAGAAGTTGACTCATTTACTTTCCGAGTCTGTCTTTAAACTGCTAAGTACCCAGAGTCACTAAGTAAAGAAAGTCACTCAGACTGTAGGAACATAACCTTTTTATTGTTTTGCAACTCTGACAGTTTTGTGTCCCTCTAAAGGAGACAAGTTTGGAGCATTGTTGGTCCCTGTGAAGGAAAGGAGTGGGTAGGCACACCCAGGCACTTCCAGAACCAGGCCCCAGAAGTGGCCTGCTTCCTGCCAGTCTGCATTATCCCTTTATGAAGTCTGAAACAACACATAGCAAAACAAATAAATTATTTTTCATCCCTCAAAAACAAGTTCAAAGTTGAAGCTGCCGAGACTGGGCTCCTGGATGGAGTACCTCCAAAGAGGTTCTGGCCAGTGGGACGTAAGAAGCACCCATTTGTCCACATCTCAGAATTCCAAGCTCTACTTAGACTTGCGACCTTGTTGTTTGGGCATCTCTCCATCTTCCAAATCCAGTTCTGTAGCAACTGACATGCAGAGGATCTGGAGGTACCGTGTGGTGGAGGCTACAAAGAGAAATCTGAGTTAAAACTAGAAACAGGTTCAGGGGGCTGAGTTCAGCAGCACCAAAGGGGGCGGGGCCTGAAACAAGCTAAGCCATATGGTTAGAAACAGGTACCACGCCAGGCGGTGGTGGTGCATGCCTTTTAATCCCAGCACTCGGGAGGCAGAGGCAGATGAATCTCTGAGTTCAAGGCCAGCCTGGTCGACAGGAGCTAGTTCCAGGACAGGCTCCAAAGCTACAGAGAAACCCTGTCTCAGAAAAAAAAAAAAAAAAAAAAACAGTTGTGGTAAGGGGGACTTGGGAGTTTAGGTTTGCAGGAAATGGCAAACAAACAAAACCAGTCTATTGAGGTAGCTGAGCAACTGGGAGATCCAGAGCTTACCTACGATCCTGCGAAGGCAGAGAGGTCGCTTGTGCTCGGGGACCCTGACGATGAGGAAGTAGAAGGGCAAGCCTGAGAGGGCAATGGCGATGCCGATGAGGGAGTTGATGGTGTCACTGTAAAGTGGGACGGCCACCAGGAAGATGGTGCAGAGGCAGAAGACAATGGGGAAGAAAAGGCTGAGCTAGGGACAGAGAACAACCGGGAGTTAGCTCGGCATGCTCTTGGTTGTTGTTTGTAGGTGGTCTCCCTTTGTGGCCCAACCTAGCCTTAAACCCATGACCCTGCCTCAGCATGAATGCTAGGATTGTAGGCATGGGTTGCTACACCCAGCTCGGAATTGCTGACAGCCTAGATAATCCTAATCCCCTGAAGATGAAAACACTGAAGGGCTGGAGATAGAACACAGTGGTATAGCACTTGCCGGGCATAATTACTCCGCCTCCTTTCTGTCGTCTGCATGCAGGCATACCAATTCCTACCGTTGTTTGTTGGTTATTTTAGGGCAGTGGGGTGAGACTGCTCAAGATCCAACCCAAGGCCTGTGCAAAACAGGATACACCACTGAGCTGGATCCCCAATCATTGCTAGATTGTTTGTGGGGTTGTTGGCTCACCGGCTTTACGTGCTACCAATGCCTAGCTCCCCAACCCTTGTGGGTTTTGGGTTTTGTTCTTTCCTAGAGACATTGAGTTTTTTGTTTCTTTAGTTCCTATAGGTGTTTTGTTGCATGTATGTCTGTGCACCACATACATGTCTGGTACCAGAGGAAATGAGAAGATATTAGATCCATTGAAACTGGAGTTACATTTGTGAGCCTTCATGTGGGTACCGGGAAACCTGAATCCTCTTCAAGAATCAGTGCTCTTAACCACTGAGCCATCTCTCCAGCTCCTGTTGTTAGTTTGTTTTTTTTTTTAAATATTTATTTATTTATTTATTTGTTATGTATACAATATTCTATCTGTGTGTATGCCTGCGGGCCAGAAGAGGGCACCAGACCTTATTACAGATGGCTGTGAGCCACCATGTGGTTGCTGGGAATTGAACTCCGGACCTTTGGAAAAGCAGGCAATGCTCTTAACCGCTGAGCCATCTCTCCAGCCCATGTTGTTAGTTTTTTTAACAATTTATTTATTTTCATTTTATGTGTCTGAGTGTTTTGCCTGCACATATGTGTGCCTAGTAACCACAGAGGATCCCCTAGAACTATAATTACAGACAATTGTGAGTTGCCATAAGGGTGGTGGGAATCAAACCCAGGTACTTTGCAAAAGCATCAAGTACTCTTAACCTCTGAGCCACCTCTCCAGCTTAACCCTTGATTTTTTCATTGCAGATACATGCCGCTATGCCTGACGTGCAATAAACTCTTGTAAGATGCATGCAGCAGCAGTTCTAGCTGCACTAAATGGAACAAAGGTGGGGTAAAGGAAATGGATTACCTTGAGAGGGCGAGGCCGGTCAGGTTCCTTCCAGCGTAGATAAAGCTGACCCACGATGGAAAGCCCCACAAAGAACCAGTAGCTGAAGCTGTAGTAGTTAATGAGCTGGAAAATGTCCTCCACACACAAGTAGACCAGTGCCAAGATGCCCTGTTGATGCAAGTCCAAGTCAGTTCCTCTCAGGCCCTGGTTGTTCTAGGTGCTTTCTACCACGCTCAACCCCTCCCAGGCCCATCCCAGGCACATCTTCACAGTCTCCATCTTTGCCTTCTGCTCCAAACCCTGCAGCACTCTTGGTACTTAATTCCTCCTCTATTAAAAGAAGCTTGCCTTTAGTCAGGTGGTGGTAGTCTTTAATCCCAACACTAGGGAGGTAGAGGCAGGTGAGTCTCTGTGAATTCAAGGCCAGTCTAGACTACTGGAGTTCCAGGGCAGCCAGGGCTACACAAAGAAACCCTGTCTGAAGTAGGGTGTGTGTGTGTGTGACCGAGAGAGAGAGAGAGAGAGAGAGAGAGAGAGAGAGAGAGAGAGAGAGAGAAAGAGAGAGAGAGAGAAAGGTGTGGTGGCACATGCCTTTAATCCTAGCTCTCAGGAGGCAGAGGCAGACTGGCTCACTCTGTGAGTCCAAAACCAGTCTGGTCTACAGAGTGAGTTCCAGGGCAGTAAGAACTGTTAGACAGGGCTGGAAAAATGGCTCAGAGGTTAGGAGCACTAGCTGCTCTTCCAGAGGACCCAGGTTCAATTCCCAGCACCCACATGGCAGCTCAAAACTGTAACTCCAGTTCCAGGGAATCTGATGCCTTTACACCAATGCACATAAAAATAAAAATAAATTATAAGAAAAAAGAACTTAGGCAGAGAAACCCTGTTGGGGTGGGGGACGGGGAGACACTTGCCTCTCATCTAAAATTTTAGTGTATTCATCACACCTTCGCCAAGTTAACTCTAACAGTTCAAAGTCCACAGAAGTCTTGGGCAAACCCTCCCTGTAATATCCCCAGCCTAGTCCTATGACAAAATTCCACAAAGCTTTATTGCAGGACTTTGAGATGCTTCCTCCCTTACCTAAAGCCCATCTCGGCAACCCTGACCATCATACTCCATCTTAAAATGCCCTCCTCCACAAATTTTTTCTTAGCCAACTTCTGCCCTCCTGGAAGTGACCGTTCTTCCCTTAAAGGGTGCATCACAGACCGTCATAACAATTAATCGTTACAGAGTGTCTGCGTGCCTTACTCCTTACCTTAGACCATGGGAGTTAGCACCTCTCACAGAAGTTTGAGGCTAGGAACTTCATCAGTGATTGGCACAATGCATCAATACTTTTTAGGCCAGAACCCCCTTTCTGGCTTCAAGAACCTAGAGTAGCTAAGTCTAGTACAACCACGTCTTCCCGCAATCCGGCTCTCAGTGTCATCCCCAAGATCACTCACATTGAAGAGTAGAGAAGGCACTGGTGTGAATCGCTCAACATGAATCATACAGATGGCATCAGGGAGGTGGCCTTCTCTTGAGCCCACAAATAAAAGCCTGTTGAGGTAAAATAAGAGAGGGTGACCAAACCGTGGGACACATAGGGCAGCCTGGGTCACCTGTCACCTCAGCCTCCCTCTGCAATCCCTTCAAAAGGAGTTCAGTTCACAGCTTAGAAGAAAGGGACTGGGGAACACTGGCCACTGAAATCCCAGCACTAATGTTTGACTGTCTCCGTCAAAACTTTTCCTGATACCCGCCCTGTCAGCAAAAAATGACAGTCCTACCTAGAAGCAGCCACAATGGAAGCATTGAGGCCACCAAAGCAGGATAATGCAACTGCCACTGGAATTGTCCAGTTGAATATTCCAAAAATCCGATCCGCAAAGGTCTAAGAGAAAGGAATAGAAGTTATTAGCAGATCCTAAAGGGGATGGAAATCCTGCACAGGCGCATGCCCAAATCCGCCATCAGGAGCCCAGTGCTCGTCACAGTGAAGGCAGCAGGCCTTGCAAGCCCGCTACCCTAAATGTACCCCTATCAGGCTGTCTACTCCCTTTCCAGGACTGAAGCTGGAATATTCCAGAAGCCCACAACACACCCTCATCATGCTAGTGAAAATCCTTTACCACAGCAACAGCTTCACTCGCCAGGATGTCCTTCATGTCGAGCACACTGTAATAGGCCACGTTGGTCAAGAGGTAGATGATGGTGACAATGGGCATAGAAATGCCAATGGAGAGGGGCAGGTTCCTACAGCCAAGCAAACAAAATGATACATCAGTCCTACCGTTTTATCCCCACCTCTCAGTCCACAGACTCTGCCACACCGTTCTCTCCAGGAATGCAGATGTCTGTGCTCCCCAGTTCCTTTGCTTTTGAGGTTGCCTGAAGTATTGGCGTAAGCGCTGAACTCTTAAAAACTAAAAAGGAGCCAGGTGGTGGTGGCCCACGCCTTTAATCCCAGCACTCAGGAGGCAGAGGCAGGCAGATCTCTGTGATTTCTCAACCAGCCTGGTCTACAAGAGCTAGTTCCAAGACAGGCACCAAAGCTACAGCAAAACCCTGTCTCAGGAAAAAAAAAATAGAAACTAAAAAGTAGTAGGGGGAAGAAATACTCCCGTAGAAAAGTTATGCAGGAAAAAGTGACATTGCATGCAGTGTTATTTGTAATCCCAACTGCTCTGGAGGCTGAGGTAGGGGGATCCCAAGTCGAAGACCTGTGTGGACAGTTTAGAGAGACTGTCTCAAAATAAAACAGGCTTGAGATGACTCAGTGGTTAAGAGCATTTGTTGCTCTTGCAGAAGACCTGGGTTCAATTCCTAGCACCCATATGGCAGCCCACAATCTTCTGTAACTCCAATTCCAGAAGAGCTGAACCCCTCTTCTGGCCTCTGAGGCACTGGGTGTACATGCTGTGCACCCATGTATACAGAAAAACACCCATACACAACTCTTCACATAAAAGGGCTAAGGGTAGAGCTTGCTGGTAAAGAACTTGTCTGGCATGCCTGAGGTCCTGGGCTCAAGCTCCAGTGCCACCAAAAAGACAACAATGAGAGGCAGAATTGACCCAGAGCTGCCCCATGTCCCAGCATAACAACAGGAAGGTGGGCGTGGTCTGTTTCTATGACCAAGTCGCCAGGGTCAGGGTTCCGTCTCTGAGCACTGGGAAGTGTGTCTTCAAACTGAGAGAGAGAAGAAGCAAGAGGCAGACCTGTGGAATCTCACATCTTCAGCAGAAAGACCAGTGTGTGCATCCAAACCAGGATGTCATTTCAGAGAACACCAGGTACCATCCTAACTGACAGCCAAGAAAAAGACACAAAGACCCCTCCAGAGTGCCAAAAGATCACTGTCTATACAAATGCCCTTGACAATGAGACCGAACAAACCTGGGCTGCATCTGGTTTCTGGTAGTGGGAATTGAATCTAGGCTCAAGGACACATGCTAACAAATACTCTACGTGAGCTACAACCCAAGCCCTCTTTTGTTGTTGTTGACAGGATCTCAGTTAAGTTTCCCAGAGAGGCCTTGAATTCACTCTATACCTGACCTTTGAACTTGTGATGCTCCTGCCTCAGCCTCCAGAGTAGCAGGGTTACAAACCTCCATGAGGCAAGATTGCAAATAATCCAGCCATTCAGCTTCTGGCCAGTAGGTGGAAGCACCACTCCCTAGCCTCCACTTGGATCTAGTAGCCCTGCTCCTCCATAGCCAGCAAATGTGTACCAGAAAGGCTTTTTGTTTTTCAAAGACAAAAGTTGATTGGTACGGGAACTGTTATAATTTAGGAAAATTGTTTCCTGGCACATTTTAGTTTCTAGGATCATAATATTTTAGAGTCAGGAAAGGCCATGGAAATTCTATAATTCAACCCCTTCATTTTGTATTAAAGAAGAAGGCAAGGGCTAAGGAAATGGCTCAGTCAATGAAGGTGCTTGCTTTGCAAGGAAAGCCTGAGTTTGAACTCAGAGCCCACAGGCAAATGCTGGGTGGTCTGTGGAGGATAGTGTGCACTTGTAACCCCAGAATTAGGGAGATGGGGACAGGAGGAACTTCTGGGGTCCCATGGCCAGCCAGCCTAGCCTCATTAGCAAGCTCCAAGCAAGTGAAAGAGCCAATCTCCAAAAGAAACAAAGAAAGGTGGGGGCCTGGAGAAATGGTTCAGCAGTTAAGAACATGTGTTCTGCTGGGTGGTGGTGGCACATGCCTTTAATCCCAGCACATGGGAGTCAGAGACAGGCGGATCTCTGTGAGTTTGAGGCCAGCCTGGTCTACAGAGTGAGTCCCAGGACAGGCTTCAAAGCTACAGAGAAACCCTGTGTGTGTGTGGGGGGGGGGGTGTCCTGTGAATGCTCATGGTGTGGTTCACGACTGTCCATAACTCTGGCCTCTTCTGACCTCTGGATGCTCCTCCACCAATGTGGTGCATACCTAAGCATTCAGACACACAGATACATACGAGAATAAATATATTTTTTAAGAAGACAGTATCTGAGGAATAACGCCCATGTGGTTTCCACAAGCATGTGTGCACACACAGCAGACACATACACAAAGAGAGTACCAGGCAAGCTGGGCATGGGCAGGAAGGTTACAAATTTGAGGCCAACCTGGACTACATACATAGTGAGATGCTGTCACAGAAAGAAAAAAAAACAAAGGGGTCTTGGTAAAGAAAACTGGAAGGGCCAGCATGGTAGTGCACACCTTTGATCTGCACTTGGGAGGCAGAAGCAACCAAATCTCTATGAGTTTGAGGCCATGGTGGACTATCTACATAGTGAGTTCTAGGCCAGCCAGGACCACGCTGTGAGAGCTTATCTCAAAACAAAACAAAGAAAGAACATGGAACAGCAAGTACATGGCTGCAAAAAGGAAGGGCAGCTGTTGGACCTCTAACTAATAAAGGGAAGAAAGGGAAGACCAATTCCGAGACCTGAGGCTCCCAGTCCAGGGCTCTCTATTGTGCAGGACTCTGAGGCAATGCGGAGCAACACCACCAGGGCAATCCGGTGAATGGCTGGAACGATTCCACCCTGGCGGTGTGAACTGGGGCAAAGAGAAAGACTCAGGAGGGAGGTGGAAGAAGGAAGTCTATGACCTGAAGTTAGCTGCTGCGTAGGGATAAAGCGGAGTGGAGGTCTGAAGACAGATAAGGCATTGCGACACTATTCTCACAGTGTTGCTCAAATCAGTTTACAAATTTGAGGGCAAAAGTCATCCTCTTGCTTCAGCCTTCTGAATGGCTTGGCAAGGACCTTGGGTGCTTCAAAGCAGATGGAAGCATGAATATAGCCTGCTTTATTTAATGTAGAAATCAATCAACGTACAAACTTTTTCCAAAAAGATTACAAAGCATAGGCGGGCAAGCACACATCTTAGCCTAGCTACTACAATCATGGACAAGAACGTCTCTAGGTCTTGACTCGGTTAAAATCAGGCTGATGAAATGAATCCCAGAGTGGAGAAGGCATGAAGGCCAGCTTGGAGAAGCTCAGTCAGCCATGGCTCGCTGGTCCGGAAGGGTGATGGTAAGGTACCTACCGCTCAGGATTCCTGATCTCTTCAGTGACATAGTTAAGGGTGTCCCAGCCCGAGTAGGAGAACAAAGCTGAGTAGAGCGCCAGGGCGATGTCACCCATTGCAAACGATGAACCCTCGAAGGAATTCTCAAAGTGACTCGTGGTTCCTGGAAGGTGAGGACAACGCAAGACAAGAGTTAATGGCCAATCCTGCGCAGGGGAGAAGGCTTGTGGTGATATCGGCAGGTAACGTGCCCTGCCAGGGGACCACTGAGGGGCGGCAACAGAAGAGCCATCAGCAGACAGCTGCCGTGCAGAGAACCACGGCTGTGGTCTCACAGGAAGAACTCCGGTGAGTCCAGGCTAAGAAACTACCACAGAGCTGAGAGGGGCTAGCATGGGGGGTTCTGCTCTACACTGTAGGCTGCCACTTTCTAACCCTAGACAGGGACAACACGGGAAGAGGCCAGACAGGGCTCAGGATGCCCAGCTCAACGGAGTTGTAGGAGGCTTCATACCTGGAAACCAGGTAGGGTGAGCACAAGGACTGCATTTCTGACCGCTCACTTCCGAGGGCAGAAATGGCAGAGCAATAGCACTAGGCCCAGCAAGCTGTAAAAGCCAATCCCCGGGGCGGGGAAAGCAGCCTCCTTGCCAAGGTCAGTTTCCTGTAGGAGGCAGCAGAGTAGAAGCTGAAGGACCAGCTTTAGAGTCAATCTGTGGGGCACACGTTTCAAGTCTTCTAATTTACCATTAGGGAATTGAGGAAGATCGTCTGGGTGATCTGTCTGGGGGCTTTGTTGTTTTGTTTTAGAATAGGGTCTCACCGTGTATCCTGGCTGGTGTGGGCCTCAAACTCAGAGATCCACTCTACCTCTGACTGCTGGAATAATAAAGCACCCAGTTTTTTGTTTTTATTTTGAGATGGGGTCTTCTGTGTCTCAGGCTGGCCTCAAATTATCTATGTAGCTGAGGGTGATCTTTAACTCCTGCTCCTCTGATTGCCACCTCATTCTGCCCGGCGTAAGACAGGTCATTTTGGGGCCTGTTTCCTCGCCTATATAAAAGGAATAATAATAGTGCCTACCAAACACAGTATTTGGAGACTTAAATAAGGCAAGTTATCAGCTCCTAATGTTCAAGTAAGGCCAAAGTTGTAGATCTGAGATCTACGGCTTGCCTAGCATGGCCCAAAACTCTGGGTTTGATCCCCAACACTCCAAAGAAAAAAGAAAAAAAAAGGAAATGTTTAAATAAAAACTAGTTGCTAGTTGGGATTGTTTTCCTTACCCTGGCCAAGTGTAACAACGCCTGCAATGATAACCGCAATCAGCGCCAACACTTTAGCATAGGTGAAAATGTCTTGGACCAGGGTTCCCCACTTGACATAGGCACAGTTAATGAAGGTTAAGAGACCTGAAAGAAAAAGAATACTGATGGTGACCTTACCCTTCCCACCTGGAGGGCCTCAAACTCCAAAGCAACTTTTCCAGCACTAGACGTCAAGATGAACCCATCAAGAAGTCAGCTGTGTATCTGGGCTGTGCCTGTTCGCCCCCATTAACCTCAGTGTCATCACTGCAAGGCTTTTGGTGAACACCTCCTCTTCCACAGCGACACTCCCAAACCCTAGTATCTCAAACTGGAGTCACAGAGCAAGGTGGCAAAATTCCTGGCCACAGATGAGGGAGGCACCTGGGAGTTGTACAGATTAGCGGTGTATTCTGGTCCTAGGCTCTTTAAAGTCAGTCTCTCGTTTCTATACACACGTGTACACACACACACACACACACACACACACGCACAGGTCTAATACCCAACATCCTGGCTCTATGCTGTTGCTGTTAACGCTGACAAATCCTGCTGTAACTTATTCAGTGTCTCGGCCAGCAGGTCAGCGTGCATGTCCAAGGACAGGATGAAGACCAAACTTCCTGTCTCCTGCCCACCGACCCCACTCTTTGTTTTGTGCTTGGTAAAATTCTTGCAGCTAAAAATGTCATGCCCAAATCCATGGGGTCCCCACAAAAGCCAACAAAGGAGACCAAGTCCCTTATGTAAAAGCAAAGAGCCTTTATTTTAATCAAGTTTGCAAACTCTGTCTCTCCGCACGTCCAACGTATTGGAATATCCCAAGAGCCCCGAGCTCAATTAGAATTGGGTTTTTATAGTAGTAAAGTGGGGGTGAGGGGTCTCTGAGGTTCAGGACCCCTGACTGGCTGACATTTGTCTAGGGGTGTCCTGGTGAGGTGCGCTGGCAGGTAATCCTATCTACAGCGGTTGGAATGTCAGGTGTTTCCTTTGAATGGTCTGCCCTTGGGTGGGGGTCCCTTGGGTGGGGGTCGGGTTATCTCAGCTTGTGGTTCTTTCCTGCTACCAGGTATTGCTTCAGGGTAAACTACTGAGACTCAGGCCTCTTAAATTTATCTGTGGCCAGAGTCCCAGGTGATAATGGTTGGAAGTAGAGAAGTTCCTTTGTGTGACCTGCCCAGACTTAGATTATCATGGCTGACCCCCACAAAAACAAGTTCCTATAGAAAAAGGGCAGGGCACTTTTCCTGCCTGGACGTTCCTCAAGCCCTTCTACCCTTCTACCCGGATGAACTCAGAGAAGTTCACAGACCATCCTCAGAGGAAGTGTTTGTAACAGGGCATGACAGTCTCTCACAAAGGGTTATGGCATATGAACATACACAGTTCCCTAAAAAGAGCCAATCTCTTTCATCAGATGCTCAGAGTAGTGGCAGGGAGTTCAGCTCAGTGGTTGACAGTGTGTTGAAATGCATGAAGCCCTAGGCTCAAATCTTTTCAACCGATAAATAAATAAATAAATAAATAAATAAATAAATAAATAAGAATCTCAGAAAAATTCATTAGCCCAAAAATTACAATCCAATACTTTGGAAGAAATTCAAGAAGGGAAGCCCACGCATGCTGTGAGGCTGGCTGGCAGCCCAGGGCTTCTGGATCCGGAAGGAAGAAAGGGCAAACAACCAGAGACAGGGAATCAACGCACAGCTTCTTCTGGCTCAGCAACAGGAAATCCCCCACGGAGTACCTGACTGGCAAGTCTCCCCACCAAGGCTCTCAGAGAAAAGCTAGCCTTGCCTGTAAGAAAGAGGTCTTGTATGATCCAAGCCAGCAACACAATTAAAACAACAACAACAAAACAAACAAAAACAAACTTTCCAAGTCCAAGGGCAGTGACTCAAGACTTTCAGCACCTAGAAGACTGAGACAGGAGGATTGCCTAATATTAGTTCCAAAGGAGAATCACTTCCCAAACCTGCAAAAAGCAGTCCAAATATCCGGAAATGAGCTCAACCTGAACCATAGGGGGATTTCTGGAGGTTAGATAAAAGCCAACATTCCTCGAGCACTTGTGAAGCCAGTGCAGTCCACCAAAAGAAGTCATTTCCCCCTACCTGTGGGACCTTATCAGCATCCTAAGGCCTCCAGGCTCCCTCAGTATCACAGGTACCTGTCACACATTTCAAAGTCCACCCAAGTATCCTAACCCTTCTCACGTTCTCCCCTAACGCTAAATTCCCTCCAGTTCATGGGCTTCCCTCTCCCTTCAGCTAGTCATACTTCTATTTTTTTTTGTTTTTTGTTTTTTTGTTTGTTTGTTTTGGACTCAATAGAGTCTTTAATAGTCTCTCTGAAATTTTACAATTTAGACCTCCATCTTCTGCACTGCTCTTTTATTTATTTATTTTTATTAAAAATTTCCGCCTCCTCCCCTCCTCCTCCCCGCCTCCCTTTTCCCTCCCCCTCCCCCCATTCCCCACCCCATCCTGTACTATAACCCAATTATACTTGCTATGCTCTCTCCTCTATCTCTCTCTCTCTCTCTCTCTCTCTCTCTCTCTCTCCTGCTTCTTTCACTGTTTTCTTATTCCTATCCCCTGCTATCCCTCTCTTCAGATAGCTCTGTCCATGTCCAGTCTCTGCCCACGTTCGGTCTACTTCTTCCTCTCTCTATTCTGGACCCCGCGCCCCTCACCTACAAGGAAAACCTTCCCCTTGACCACACCATGGAGCAGTCGTGTTGTTAGCTTACATACCTACAGATTTTAACTTGAGGCCAGCCTGGATTACATAGTGAATCTCAAGGCAGCCTGGGCTACAGATACCTCGCCTCAGAAGGAAAGAAAGCAACCTTAAACCCTCAGGGTCCGCAGACTTCCTGTTTGTTAGCCCCTAGTTTCGTTCTCATTTTAACCCAGAGGCCAGTGCACTAGGAAGCAGGGAAAATTAGCCATCTTCTATTCCAATCTCCTTCTAACCGGTGTGGGCGCACGCACACGTGAGTGCATGCACATGTGTGCGCGCTCACTAATGCAGGCACATAGGCAAGCCAATGTCGGGTGTCTTCCACGATCCTGTCTCCGCCTTATGTTTTGTTATAATTATTTTCATGTCACAGCACGCATGGAGGTCAGAGAACAACTTGAGGGAGACAGTTATCTCCTTTTACTTGGTGACAGGAGCCTTTACTGACTGAGCCAGCTTGCCAACTCTCTGCCCTCCTTTTCGGAGATATTCTCGCTGCACCAGGAGCGCGTTGCCCTTTCCCCAACTACTGGGCAACCTGGCATTTTCAGCAGGTGCTGAGGATCTGAACTCAGGTCTCCTTGCTTGAACAGCAGGCACTCTGCCCGGTGAGCCATCTCTCCGGGGGTGCCCCCTTCCGCTTCCGTTCTATTAATCGCCTACATTGTTTTCTAATTTTACTGAGGGGCTTTCCAACTCTATCAAATACATGTCTCCGTGCCTAATAGACATGACAACAAGCAACCGAACCTTATCAGAAGGCTGAGCAAACATGTACCCATCTCCAGGTCAGCCCAGTGCTAAGTTAATAATTAAAGGCACAAGTGGACTGACTCCTCAGTAATCCCACAGAATGAAGCGCCTGTCTCTTGCCCTCCACCAGCCTGACACAGGCTGATCTTCCTCAGCAGTCACCCAGCCCTTCCTCCCCACTGGACTTCCACCCTCAGCTGCCTGGAGCAGGTCTCCCCACCCTGTGATCTCTAATCCTTACCTTCAGGCTCGGCTCTGACTTAGAAACACAACACAAACCGGGTTTCCTTAAGAAACACCAGCACATATGCCGTATGCCTGACTGGGAGAGTGGGAGGGATCCCCTAGGACTGGAACCCCCCCAGCAGAGATGAAGACATTCTACAGTGAAACTTCTGCCCCTCCCAACGTGGCTAGCCAACTACTGAAGCAATGGTCTCCAAGAAGTTGGAATTTCCCTAGGAGTCTCATGCTGGGAGAAGAAAAAGGTTGAAGCCTGGTGCCAACGGGAGGAAAATCTTGTCTCGCTCTAAGAGATTTCACATAGTTCTGATAACTTCTCAGACCACATTGCAAGAGAGACTAGAGCTAAGACAATGGGGGGCCAAGATGGACCAAATCACTGTTACTGGAACCACTTAGCTGTGTGTACCTCTTACCCTCTGTGTAAGCCTAAACCCTCTATTAGGACCTCTTCACTAGTTCCCTTTCCAGTGCAGCCATATGGAGTCAGTCTCCTCCCTCCATTTCCACTCTTACTGTGTCTCTTTGAGTGGCCTACTATGGACCAGGGTGGCCCAGCCTCGCTCTGTAAGGTTTCCAGGGCCCAGCGTCTTCCCCTAGCAACTCTGGTAACATAGCAAGTTCCTGGTTGAGCTGCAGAGTAACTTATAGGTCACAGCATGGAACTGGAATAGATATAAGGGAATCGTTCTAGTTCACAGAGTCTGCAGTTCTACACCACAGGGCTCTTGGCTCAGTTTCATTTGTGGACATAAGCACAGAAAAGTAGCAACAGACAACTCACTCCCCTTTCCTACAGCAACCCCTGCCATGAGAAAGTGGAGCAATGGTTCACAACCTTCCTAACGAGACCTTTTAATACAGTTCCTTCTGTGTGGTGACCCCCAACCATAAAATTATTCTATCGCTACTTCATAACTGTAATTGTGCTATTGTTATGATCGCAATATAAATACCTAATATGCAGGATATCTGATATGTGTGACCCATGTGAAAGGGTCATTCGACACCCCAGCCCACCCCTGCCGTGGGGGTCGTGACCCACAGGTTGAAAACCACTGATGTAGAGGTTGTTTATACTTTGATCCCATTGCTTCTCCACTCATTCACTTCATCCTTTTTGTTACATCCATGTTCCCTGCTACCGTGCTTTTGTTTCAGCCACAGACCGAGCGTCATGCCCTGCTCTACTCCGTGGGGAGGGAGGCTCAGTCTGGATGCTGTACAGAAAATGAGGCACTGAGAACTGCTGGCTTGCCCCTTCCACAGCTCCCTGCTTCCTCCAGAGCTCCTGGCCCTGGGAACAGGAAATGAATAAGGCAAGCCTCAGTGGCTGAGCAGGCTTTGTCCCCGCCCGTAACAGA